ACACACACACACACACACACACACACACACACACACACACACACACACACACACACACACACACACACACACACACACACACACACACACACACACACACGTATGCACGTACCGTTTGCCGTGCCGCGGGCTGCGCCGCAGCTGGAGTTGAACGGCCCCTCTGCGCTGGTGTTGACGCCTGCACCGGCCGCCCACCACACGAGCAGGAACACCGACATGATCTTCATTGACGGCTGTTGTCGTGTCACAGCGACCCATCGCACGATCACGTGCACGTGTGAGAAAAGGGCGTGCAGTGCATAAACACGTTCAGCAACGCACACACACACACACACACACACACACACACACACACACACACACACACACACACACACACACACACACACACAAAGTAGCGAGTGTACCTGTGCGAGGTCTGGGCTAAAGCGGGCGATGAGGATGAGGATGAAGCAGATGGCGGCTGATGCAGCGCCGACAGCGACGGCGAAACCGTTGCGGTCCGAACAGTCGTCAACAGCACTACACACATCCGCAGACACAGACTGTACAAGGAAGGAGGAGGGGGGAAGAGGGACAATGAGGGTGTGAGAGGAAGGGATGAGGGTACTTGGCTGTTCACAACACCAAACAGTTGCAGCAGCGTTTTCATACACTTGTTGACAACACAAGGCTCACGCATGACACATACACGCATTCATGCACACACACACACATACACACACGCATGACACACACACACACACACACACACACACACACACACACACACACACACACACACACACACACACACACACACACACACACACACGTGTCACTGGCCACCACACCATCTCGACGAGGGAGGTGAAGAGGAGGATGAGGAGGGAGGTGTTGATGGCGACGACGGTGGCGCGGACCTTGGCCACGGCGTGCGGCAGCGCTGTTGCCGCATACACCATGGCCGCAAGAAAGGCAATCCACGTGAAGATGTAGCCGTTGCCGGTAAAGGGGAAGGGCCCCTCCGTGCTCGTGTTGAACGCGGCGCCAAACGCCCACAGCACAACCAACACCAGTGACAACACCACGTCAAACTATGGAAAGGATAATACACACGCACACACACATGCGCGTGTAAAGGAAAGGGGTGGTGTGAGTCTGCATAGGGGAAGCTGGGGCCAACTGCAAAGCATGCGCAAACGCCACAATCGAAAAACACGACACCCATTGCAAAGCTAGTGTAATGTAACTCCAAGCAGGAAGAGGATGGCTTCAAACGTTCATACACAAACACACACACACACACACACACACACACATACACACACACACATACACACACACACACACAGCGCACCGTGTCGCGGAGATGAAAGTGCTGGAAGATAAAGGCGAGGCGAACAAAGCAGAAGAAGGCCGATATGACACCGACAGCAATAGCCCATGCGACGTATGGATCATCACACGAATCTGACGTGTCGCAACTGCAGCGCAAGAGAAGAATAAAAGCGTCTCTGTGAGTGGCATGGGCACAGAGCACACACAACAGACGCGAACAAGCCCCGACACACAACACACGCACACACACACACGCACACACACACACAACACACTCGCAAACACACGCACGCAAGGAACGTACAAGTCTGCGGCTGTGGCAAACTCGATGACCGAGGCGATGAGGCAGATGAGCAAGCTGCCGCTCACACGGCGGCGCAGCTCCGGCTGCTCTTCAATGTCCTCAGATGCACCGGCATGGTTGTGCTCTTCGCGCGCCATCCTCGCGTTTCCTCTGCGCGTTTGTGCTTTGTATCCTTGGCTGTGCTGTGGTTGTGAAATACCGCTTATACTTCTGTCTCACAACTTGCCGCTGCTGCTGCTGCTGCTGTGTACTTGCTGGATGAAAATGGAAGGTCACATCACTCACACACGCACACACATGCACCACCGGCTGTGAGAAAGCCGTCACATCACAACATCCGTCACATCAATCTCGCCACCACCGTTGATCAAACAACCAGCAGCTTCTGTCTCCTGCATTGCCCCGTTCCTCATGTGCACCGAACGCATGCACATGTGAGTGCCCCTGCTTCTCCTCCATCACCCGCTCAATTTAGCATGAGCGTGCGCAAGCAAGCAACCACGTGGGGAAGGCGTGAGTGGTTAGCGCTGTGTCGCGACAACGACCAATGCTTGCTTCTTGCTTGTTGCTTGCTTGTCAGCGGGATCCGCGAGTACCGAAAATTATATGAAGATGTATGTCAATTATCCACAAGCGCATCCGACACCAAACAAACAAACGAACGAATATGGCGACACGACAACCGCAACAGAAACAGCAGCCGCCGCGCCGCCCGCGGTCAAGGGTGGAGCGTGTGACATGCCCTGTCCACAAGCACGCTCCCGTTGTGGAGGACTACAGAGCAGGCGACATGGTCTGCAGTGAATGCGGACTCGTCGTTGGAGACAGGTATGTATGATCGTGAGTGTGTGTGTGTGAATGTGTGAACGTAATGTGCGTGTGTGACTGTGTGTGTGTGAATGTGAATGCGTGACTGTGCACGTATGTGTGAATGTGTGAACGTATATGTGTGTGTGTGTGTGGCTGTGCGTGTTGTGTTGTATTGTGTTGTGTGTGTGTGTTGTGTGTTGTGTGTTGTGTGTGCTTTTGTGCATGACTTTGCCGCCTTGAGCTGGTGCGGTGAGATCATCCGTCCGCCGTTGTGGGTTGTCGTGGCTGTTCAAGGTGGAAGTCGGGGAAAGAGAACAAGTGCCAAACATAGAACTGGGAGCGTGGTTGGTGCGTCGTGCCAACCGCGTGCACATGCATGCAGAGACACTCGCTCGCCCTGATTGCTGTGTGCAACAATGCTGTGTGAAACTGCAGGGTGGTTGATGTGGGTTCAGAGTGGCGTTCATTTGGAAACAGCGACAAGAAGAAAGACAACAAAGACCGCAGCCGTGTCGGTTTGGAAGAAGATGTCCTGCTGGAAGGCGATCAGGGCCTCACCATCTCCGCCATTCCAAACTGCCCAAATGGTATTCGGAGTGACAAAGAAAAGAGTGACACGGGGGAGGAAGCGGGAGGGGATGACACAGCCCATCGTGCATGTGCTGGTTATGTCAATCGTGCATGTGCTGGTTGTGTACTTCTTGAGCCCGTGCCCCAGGCTTCTGATCACAACACAGCAACACACTCGCACTCATGCACAACCTTCGCCTCACATGCACACACACACACACTCGTGCACTCCCATGCACACGCTTCACTCACGCATGCTCTTCTGACCTACTTTTTTTCTCTCTTCTTGACGTGCGCTTGTGCAGCTGACGTGCCGTGGATGCGATGGCAAAGCCGCATGGGGGTAATGCTTTCTGCAAAGCAGTCGCCATTGTGACGTGCGCTTTGTTCAGTGAGAACACTGGCGTGCATTGCATCCCAACACAGCACCACGCATGGTCTCGAGCTGTTCCACCGCAGCTCACGTTGGTTTTGCTTGGTCACGTTCGCCCTGTTGTCACGGCTGTTGTCGCTGTTGTATGTTCAACAGCCGAGCGGGTCCACGCGCACGCTCAAGAGCGTCTATGGAAAGATTGCCAACCTCGCATCCAAGCTCAGCTTGACAGACCAAGTCGTGGTGAGCACTTTTGTTCTTGTGTGTGTGTGTGTGTGTGTGTGTGTGTGTGTGTGTGTGTGTGTGTGTCTTCGTCTTTGTTCGTCTGTGTATGTGTTCGTCTGTGTTTGTCTGTGTGTGTGTGTGTCTTCGTCTTTCTGTATCTGCGTGTATCTGTATCTGTCAGGCTGTCTGTTTATTTGCGCGTCCACCTTTCCGCCTGCCTGCCTTCCCGCCTGCCTGTCTTCCCGCCTGCCTTTCTACCTGCCCGTGTCTGCGTGTGCATGGCAGCCTGATAGCGGCGACTGCCACGTTCCGTCTCATCTCACCCGTGATCCTCCACAACCATAGACGACAGCCAAGGCCATCTTCAAGGAGGTGGAGGAGACGGGCGCTGTCAAGACGCGCAGCCACGATTCGTGCGCCGCCGCCTCCGTCTACATTGCCTGCCGCAACCTCGGCGTCTCCCGCCCATACAAAGGTGCGTTGCAACGCTCCAAGCGTACACGCACACACACGCACACACGTAGGCATATGCTCCTTGTCGTGCACTTTCGTGCAATGCACTGTTGTCGTGTCTTCCTGCCTCACAAACCACCTCCGCTCCCGCCCCCCTTGTCGATCGTTTTCAATCTCCTCTCCCCCTCCTCCTCCCGTTCTTCTTCTCTCCCTTCCCCACTTGCCCGTGCGGTGCAGAAATCTGTCGCGCTGCCGACAAGACGCCAAAGGAGATTGGACGCGTGTACAGGAAGATTAGAAGCGCAATTAAGACCGCCGTCAAGTCAAGCAACCCGGCAGAGAACCTTGTGCGTTGTTTGTTTGTTTGTTTGTTTGTTTGTTTGTTTGTTTGTTTGTTTGTTTGTGCGTTTGTTTGTTTGTGCGTTTGTTTGTTTGTGCGTTTGTGCGTTGTGTGTCTGTCTGTCTGTCTGTGTCTGTCTGTGTGTCTGTCTGTGTGTCTGTCTGTCCATCCGTCTGTGGTGTACTGTGAGTCGTCGTCCTGCTCTCACCGTTACACACACACAAACACTCACATGCGTGCACGCTCTATCATCTCTCGTGCGATGATTGCGTTATGAATCCACCTCATCTCTTCCCCCCTCCAATCCTCGCCACCATCGCCATGATCGCCATTACCAGGGACGCTATATCTCGCGCTTGGGCCTCGAATTTGTCGTCCGCAAGGCCGCCACATACATCTTGGAGATTGGCGGGAAGCTCAGTACGTACACGCACCACGCACAACGCACAACTCGCTTTGCTTTGCCATATGTCAGCAACCAGCGTAGTCCTAGTGAACATGCTGGCCCACCCCCCTGGTGCTCAGGCGCAACATTCCCACTCTCCCATCCTCGTCCACACCTTCCAACCTTCCACTCACTCACACTCACTCCAACCTACGGCCACCACCACAATCCACCACCACCACCACCACCATCAGGTGTGCTTGAGGGCCGTCAGCCAACAACAAAAGCGGCCGCTGCTCTTCTCCTTGCCATCAACGCCCTCGGCTTTAGCGCAGAGGCCCCGCTCCCAGGTAACGGCAACGCCAATGTGCACGTGGTGTGTCTGTGTATGTGTGTGTGTGTGTGTGTGTGTGTCTGTGTCTGTGTTTATTTACCTGTGTCCCTGGTACAGGTGTGGTTGTTTGCCCGCTTTCTCAGGCAGCAGTGTTCTTTGTACATCATCAGTGCACTCACGACACACACACACACACATCGCTCTACTAGCTGTTTCCCGCGCGACGGCGGTGAGCGAGAGCGCAATCAAGGACGCATACAAGGAGCTGTATCCCTTCCGCCAATATCTCTTTCCAGCAGAGCTCAAGTCAAAAGTCAAGTCAGTTGTGCTGTTCTGTGTTGTATGAGGTTATGTTGCGCTCTTCTGTGTCGTGAATCGTGTTGCTGTGTCACCCATCGACTTGCCTTTGACAACGCCAAGTCCTGCGATACATCTCTCCTGTTGCTTTTTCTTCCACGTTGGCCTCTTCATCTCTCACCGCGTGCTGTACTATGTCGTGTTCTGATGCTGCAGCTTCGCTGACTGTCCAAACTTTGGACCGGGCGCTAACGAAGAAACAGGCAGACGACAGGTGTGGCTTGGTGCTTCCTCCTTGACCTTCCTGACTTCCTGTTGCGTGTCCACGTGTCCGCCTGCCCTGCTTAAGTTTCATCTTCGGTTCTGCTTTGTCTTCCTTTCACGTTGCTCACAATGTGCGGTCTTCAACACCACCACCTTTGCCCCGCCTCCCCTTGCCTCACCTGATGCTCAGATCACCAAGCTTCAGCTTCAGCCCACGATTGTGGAAACACAGGCCACGGCTGCTGCCAACAAATACGAACAGGCGATGGCAGCATCGTGATGTTGTCGTGCTGTGTTGCATTCTCCCCTTTGCTCTGCCCATCTTGTCACGTGCTCAGTGTCACACTACCCCACGCGTGATTCAATCACGCTTTGCTTCAAATGTTGTAATGTAATCGATTGCTTTCCACCTTTCGTGTCAGCTGTTCAAGATTAAAACATTCAGTTTGGCTGTACATCCCCAGACAAAGACCGCCGCACACACTTGACCAGTGTTCACATCCGATTGTTGTATTTGCCAACATGGCACGCGTACGCGAAGAAACAACAAGAGTGCGCAAAACGAGCACAACATGCAGCGTGGCATGCCCTCAAACGAGAGCAACGCGCAAAGAGTAATCAACGTTTTCTGGCCTGAAATTAGAACAAACATACACGTCATGCAAACACACACGCGAAACACTCACGCCACATCAAAAAACCTGCAGTGCATTCACAGTCATATGTCGCCCTTATGCGAGCGCTTAAACCCCCCTCCCACCAAAAAAAAAAAAATCAACAAAGAACAAACACTCAACGACAAACAACGTTGTTCCCATGCCTCGATCATGCAAACGATGTGGACCACTACTTTGTTCCAACAACAACAACAACAACGACAACAACAACAACAACTTCGTTCAACTTCGACGTGTTCGTTCCGAGAATCCAACCCGCCCGTCCTTCAATTCCTCGCGTCTGTCCTCCTCGCGCTATCTCCCCCTCTTGCTCTCGCTCTCACTTGCCTGCAACCAATTCACTTCCCTCTGCGTCAGCATGCAACCCAATGCACAATCATCGACCAAAGCCACCACAGCCACAACCGGCGCCACAAACGCAACGCCTACACGTATGTGCCGCCATCAAGATCAACAATCGCCTTTGTGGCGTCACTTCCCCGAACCGAGCGCCGCCTCATATCCTCAGACATGCGGCTGTCGCGACCCTGCTGCTGCTCCTCCTGCCCCTGCTGCTGTTGCTGTTGCTGTTGCTGTTGGAGCGGGCTGTGTGCTGAGAGGCGAACGGAGCGCACTGCACGCCCCGTCGACGGCCGGGCAAGTCGGCCGCCCACTTCGGGCGTCGCCGTCATCGGCGCCGTTGGGCTCGTCGCACCCGTGTCATCCATGGTGGCGCTGGCGGGCAGGGAGCCGCGCCTGAGCTCGCCGTCGCCGTAGCTGTTCAGCTCCATCTGCAGAGACGACGACGACCCGTCAGAGCCAACCCCGCGCTGCCTGGCCAGCTCGCGTCGCAGGTGCTGTGCAAACATGCCCCCAGGTGGCGTGGACAGCCTGCCCCGGTGCGTGCGTACGCTCGCTTGCTGCAGTGACGACGCCGACAATGACGCCGATTTCAGCGCACCGCCATCACTCGCACGGCGGGCCGGGGAGCCGCCCCTCACACTGCCTTCCATCGAAGCCATTGCGTTCGGTTGCAGTGGCGCCGGGTCCACCACAAGCGGGCGGCGGCGCGTCACCAGTTCCCTTGGCGGGGGCGCCGGCGACCACTGCAACTTCTGCTTGCTCTCCTGCTGCTGTTGTTGTTGTTGCTGTTGTTGCTGCTGCTGCTGCTGTGCACCACCAGCGACCACGTGTGCTGGCTCCACCAGCGTTGCGTCGGGCCCCTGCTGCTGCAGCAGCTCGTCCAGGCGCCGCGGGTCCTCGCCCGTCGCCGCGTCCTCGTAGTCGCTCATGCTGCCGCGCGGCGTCTCCTGTTGCCGCAGCGGGCTGAACCCGACGCTGGATGACGCAGATAGCTGCGACCCGCGTGGTGAACGCACGTGGTGCGGCTGAGGTGCCATTGCTTCTCCTTCTCCTTCACCTGCTTCCTCTTGAAGGTGGTAGCGGTGCGGGTGTGCGTGCGCCGGCAGCTGCGGTGACATGGCGGGTGACTGCTGTGCAGACGTGAACACGCGCGGAGACGGCGGGGCTGAAGACGATGACACTGATGGTGTCGGGGCCTTTGCCGGGGACACCGACGCTCGCGGGCTCGCTGCCAGCTGCAGAATGCTGTCCAGCGTGTTGACGGTTTGCTCCCACTCGGTCTTGCTCACCCGACGGCCGTTGTCCTGCGCAAACGGCAGCACGCCGCCACTCGCAGATGCACGAGACAAGCTGCCCCCTCTGCCAGCCGCGCCCTGCTGCTGCTGCTGCTGCTGATCAATGTCACCTGCCAGCGGCGATGGCTTTGCAGGCGTCACCCCGGTGCTGCTGCGCGTGCTGCTCTGTCTTACGCGCATGGGAGACGCATCCGCAGAGCTCACGTTGCTGTCTGCCATGCCGCTGCTGTTGCCTGCACGCAACGACGTGCCAGGCGTGTTTGGCGGCGTCTGCGACGGCGAGCTGAGCGGCGATGCGCGGTGAACGAGGCTGGACCGCGCCCACGACGCTCGCCGGCTGCCGTGCTTGGACGTCTCCGGCTGGATGATGTTGTCGTACGGTGGCGACACGGGTCGCGATGTGGGCGGTCGCGGTGAGCGTTGGCGCGGTGACACAGCCGGCGACGTCACAACAGAGCTGAGCGGCGAGCGCGTCGACAAACGCATCGACTGGGAGCGCAGCTTGTTTGGCTCGCCCGTGCTGTTTGTCGGTGTGGACTGGCTGCGGGCCCTAAACACGTCCTCATCTGCGCACGTGACCGTGATGGGCAGTTCACCCAAGCTATCCTCCTCCTGCTCATGCAGGTCACGCTGTTGTTGTTGCTGCTGCTGTTGCTGCTGTTGCTGCGGCTGGGGCGCTGGCGCTGCTGCTGTGACCGCCGCTGCGTGGCGGTGGTCGTCGGCGCCGAGTGGTGACGGTGGGCGGTGGAGAGGCGAGCCGCCGCCAAGGGTGGTGGCCAGGCCAAGGTCCGACTGGGACGAGGAGAGTGAGGACGACTTCTTCTTCCCCTTCTTGGGCGACTTGGACGAGTCACACCGCCGCCCAAACCGCAGGCGGAACGACCCGTGCCGCACCTTGCGCCGGGGCTGCCCGTCGCTGGCGCTGCGCTGGATGCTGCCGTCGCCCTCGTCCTGCCACACGTCACCACCACCACTGCCGGCCTCCGCGCCACCGTGCCCAATGGAGTGCGGCGATGGCGGCTGCCCCTGCTGCCCAGGGCTCACCATGCGCGGAATGGTGCTGGCGCTCGCGTACGCCGCGCGCCCGTGCATGCGGCGGCCCGAGTCGTGCTCCCTGCTGTTTGGCCTGCTGCCACCAAGGCCCTCCCTGCTCTGCGGGCGGCTCTCAGACCCGCTCGTGTCGCGGCTGCGGGACATGTGCACGCTCTCAGAGCGCCGGAGGGAGCTTGGCGGCGTGCGGCCGTGCATGCTGCCCGGAGGCGATGTCGGCGGCGTCGGGGTCAGCCGCACGTTGGACTTTGGCCGGCGGTTCAGAAAGTCAAACCGCGAGTGGGAACGCTCCTTCACAAGCCCAGGGCTGGCGCTGCCCTTGTCGCCGCCCTTGTTCTTCTTCTCCTTGCGGCTGCTGCGCTTGAACGACGAGCGCACCTTGCTGGTGAACCTGCGGAACGACCCTGGGCTGCGCGTGCTGCGCTTCTTCTTGGTCACCTCCATCACCTGCATGTGCAGCGTCTGCCCAATCTTGCTGCGAATCAGCCGGCCGACCCGCTGGTGGCTCCACGAAGACACGTCTGCACCGTTGATCTTGAGAATGGCCGTGCCAGGGCGCAGCCCGGCCTCCTCGCCGCATCCGCCCTTGTCCACGCTGATGATCATGTGCTTGCATCCGTACTTGGTGCCGTTGCGAAGCGTGAACCCCAGCCCGCGGTCCTTGCTGTAGTGCACGGCAATGTCAAATGGGGCGTTCCGGCGCGGCGTCTCTGGCGTGGTGGCCTCGGGCGGCTTGAGCGAGCTGCCCTGTGACGACGACACTGCCGCCGTTGCTGCTGGCGTCGTCGCCTTGGTTGGTGTTGTTGTTGTTGTTGTTGTTGTTGTGGACGATGATGTAGCAGCAGCAGCAGCTGGAGCAGCAAAATCGCGATCATCGCGAGCGCGGGGAGGGGTGCCCTGGCTGAGTGAGGCGAGGGCGGTGTCCACGCTTGAGTGGCGGCGAACAGCGTCGTTGTCACTCGCCTGCATGACGCGCGCCCGTGATCGCGGCTCCTCCCGCGACTTGGGCCGGTGGTGCAGCAGCGACCCGCTCTTGTCCAGTGGGCCCGTGCGCCGCTGCTGCTGTTGCTGCTGCTGGTGCTCCAAGTCAAGCTGCAGCTGTATGTCTGGGGAGTGCACGTTGGTGAGGGAGGGCCGTGAGCGCAGGCTCGGGGCATGGCTCGGCGTGTTGCTGCTGCTTGCACTGCTGCCGCTGCCGTCACCAGACTGCGTGCGCTGTTGGCTGTACTCGTGACGCAGGGAGCTGCTGCGTGTGGACGCAGAGCGGTGCGCGCGAACATCCCGCGTCGCCGTGGCGTCGCCCTCACCATCGTCATCATAATGGTGACGGTGGTGACGATGGTGCTGGCGCTGGCCACGCATCGACCCATCGCGCGACGCCTGCCCGCTGCCAACTTCAACAACGACAGCAGCAGCAGCAGCGTCGGCGTCATCGCCCAGGCCCTCCTCCTCGGGAATGGCCTCGCTGCTCGACATGATGCTCGTGTCTCCAGAGGCCAGTGTTGCGCGCGGCCCACGAGCCAACAGTGCTGCCTGCTCCTCCCGGCCGCCGGCGCTGGTGCTGGTGCTGGTGGTGCCGGCAGCGGTGGCGGCGGTGTCGCCCTGCTGCAAAGACGACTTGCGCTGCGACTGTGGTGATGAGAGCGGCGACGGAAACTGAAACTGCACATCCTGGCGCGGGGTGCACGGAAGGGAGCGCGCCTTGAGCCGGGCTGCAGAATCGTGTGTTAGCGACATGCGACGCACATCGTGGCGGGCCTGGCGCATGGTCACCTCATCCTTTGTCAGGTACCGTCCGTGGTGCGACTTGCTCCCCGCCTGCCCTGGCTGCTGCTGCGGCTGCTGCACGCGGGATGAAGATGACGATGGCGATGCTGGTGCGGCGCTGCCGCTGCTGTCCTTACCGAGTGTCAGCATGAGACCATCGTCAGACTCGAGCGGGCTGGACGGAGGCTGGCTGTCATCACGGACGTGCTGCGCCTGCGATTTCACACGCGCGCTCGACTGCCGCCACGACACATCATCACCATCGCGCCCGTCGCCCTTCTGCTGCTGTTGCTGTTGCTCTTCATCCACTTCGCGCTGCTCGGCCCCAACGCTGCTGCCTGCATCGCGCTGCTTGCTGCCCTGCATGTGTTCTTGTGCGTCCTTGGCGTCACCGGCACTGGCACCGCCGCCATCGCGCTGCAACACCTCGTCATCCGTAGCGGGCGAGTCGAGTTTGCGCGGGGCGGTGTCGCTGTCCATGGTCGATGCCGTGCTGCCACGCGGCGGTCCGGCAAACGAGTCCTTCTTTGAGGACGCCGGTTCCGACGATGACACACTCATGCTGTCGCCAGCGAGGTGCGGGTTGAAGAACACGCGGGACCCGCGGCGCCGGAACGACCCGCCAAGATCTGGGTATTGATTGAGGGACGATGGGGTGGGGTGCACGAGTGAAATGTGCGTGAGAGCGGGCGAGTGTGTGTGTGTGTGTGTGTGTGTGTGTGTGTGTGTGTGTGAGTATGTGTGTGTGAATGTGTGTGTGTGTGTGTGAACGTGTGTGCGAGTGTATGCGCGAGTGCATGTGAATGCGCATGTGTTTCCAACCACATACTACCATCGCCATCAATGAGCTCATACCTGGAGAGCCCGGGCGCGGCGTGTTTGGCGATGAGTGTGGGTTGACGCAGACAAACTTGCCGAAAAACGGGTCAGAGTGCACACTGTCTGTTCCCTCGCTCTCCTCGTCCTCCGACGATGACGATGACAACTGGTGCGAATACCTGCAATGGAGAACGGGGTGTGAGGACAATGTGCTTCATGTGTGGGACATTGTGCCTGTGATTGTGTATGACTCTTGTGTGTGTGTGTGTGTGTGTGTGTGTGTGTGTGTGTGTGTGTGTGATTGTGTATGACTTTTGTGTGTGTTTGAACAGCTACACACCTGTCTGTGCGATCGTCAAAGTAGCTCGTGTCGTAATCATCGTCCAGGGTCGGCTTGAAGTTCGCTTTTGCCAACAGGAGATTGTCCCAGTCAATTGGGCCCTGACACATGTTCATGCACGTGTTGTCATACGTCACGTGAATCGAATTTGAGCGAGCGGCGACAGCGCAGTGTGGCCCACAAGTACGAGAACACAGACACACACAGACACACGTTGACGACTCCACACACACACACACACACACACACACACACACACACACAGCCATGTTACATGCGCGCACACACGTACACACTCACACACACACACACATCGGCGCACACGTGAGCGCACCTCTGTGCCGTCATCGTCTTCAAGCGTGGCGTCGAAGAATGAGTGCTCCTTCACGTAATACGCGCCAGGCATCACCTCCTCCCACGACGCAATGTGCGATGGTGGCGGCGGCGTTCCAAGACGACCTATTTTGAGTATAATTAAGTGTGGGTGTGTGTTTGTGTTTGTGCGATTTGTGTTAGCATGGTGAGCGAAAGGGAGCACACGTCGAGAACATTCAAGGTGTGCCAACTCACGCAACACCTTAGGACGCATCAGCCACGATAGCAATGTAGAGGGTGACAGTGACATACGTTCGGGGTTCTTCTCGAGAAGGAGGGAGATGAGGTCTTTTGCATCGGGCGTCAGGCCAAACTCCTCATCATCGTCCGGCAGCTGTGGTGTGTGTGTGTGTGTGTGTGTGTGTGTGTGTGTGTGTGTGTGTGTGTGTGTGTGTGGTGTGTGTGTCCGAATGCGTGTGCGATCTCAATCTGTCCTCGAAGAGAAAAATATGGGGTTCAGTGTATTTTTATAATTATTTACATAGTTGGTGTTGTCGAGAGGCTCTAGAGGGGTCTACTTCCCAGTGCTTTCTTGTGTTATCACATCGACAAGACACACATAACATACAATATGTATCAGCAAGTTAGATATACGATACGGCGTGCCTCGCTACCGAGAAGCCTACCAGCCACCCACTTGCGTAGCATTCAGAGTAGTAAGGGAAAG